AATTATCAAAAACTACACACCCTGGTAGGGAGAAACCTATCTCCCCCACTTGGTGGCACCGCTGAATTGCAGTGCTCCCTCTTGCAGTTTTTTTCTAGAAAAAACCCTGCAGATAATAATGTTATATAACAGAAAGCAATATACATGCAAAAAATAAATCTCATTATAGCATTGTGGTCACATGAGTTACCTTGGTTACTATTTATGATTTTGAGAACTTAGAACACGAGAATTAAGTGAAAAGTGACAAATTATAGCCACATAAATACTGGCAATGATTATATTGTCATTTTAATTATCGTCTTTTTTATAATTATCAGTTGATTCTATCGGCATAATTGTTTTTTTTATCACCACTGTTATCATCGTTATTTCTATAATCATCAACTCATCGTTATCTCCATTATCATCGACACCATCATTATTCTTTTTATCATCAATGTTATTTCCATTATTAATTTCATCACGTAGTGAAGTTAGTTTTGACCAGTTACCGGTAGTTAGTAATTAGTGCGATGTAAAGTTGTACACCAGGAACTTTGGAGTAGATGTATATTTGGTAGCAAACATTTTCCCGTCGGGTGTTGGGTCTGAGAATGCAATGTCGTCATTGGTCAAACTGCAACCGTACATGAAGTGACATCTGCAAAATAGAACAAAGTAGAGCATTTTATCAGGTGAGTAACTATTACTGGTGTCAGTACTTGGAGACATTAAGTGATGTCAGTCTGGGAACTTTCCCTGATACGTTTCCACATACATTAATTCCAGGAAAAATATCTTACAATAATTTTTTTTTCACTCAAGCATCAAGTATTGTTGATTTAAGTCACTAATATAATTAGAAATCATTTGATATGAACATACAAAATCATGGATAAATATGTCAATTCTGCATGGAATTTGTTTCCACTTATTGATACTGTAGAATACTTCATTTCCGCTTGGAATTTATTTTCGCTGAAGGAATTATTCAGTGAAAATAAAATCCAGCCAATATACTTTTTTTCCTATGTCTCACATTCAACTCATCAAAAATCAGTGAAAATAAATTCCGTACAAAACACGCAAAAAGCTTCTTCAGCGAAATTTAATTCCAGCTAAAATAAAATATTTCACAGTAGCTGAACGAACATACCCTGGCAGCGATAAATTACAAGGTTTGAGCAAATCTGCAAGACACATACTGGTTTAATGCTGCTTTCTATACAGCAAATAATTCTGGAAAATTTATTTTGAGACTTATTTCGAACATATGTTTGAGAAAACACACTTACTTAACACAATCAATCAAGCGTGTTGCTATTTTCTTTCTTCTCATTTTGCCCCATACCCATATACGACTAACACCACAAATAGCGGGAACCGCATCGTTACTACAGCACCACGCCCTCTTCTTGTCTTCATCGCTATCTGGACTTACTTGGTCAGTGTCTGTTAAAACCCTGTATGCCTAGGTGAAAATAAACACAAAGTGTCAGAGATATGTCTATTAAAATAGCATGGATCCAATACTGTGAAGTATTAAACACATTCAACTCTTCAATAATCAGCGAAAATAAACAGCAAAAGTGTCTTCTCAGCGAGGTAATTTTCAGCAAAAATGAAGTATTTTACAGAATGTAAGATTCATCTTTTCAAACAAAGAGTTAATGAGCAAGGACTGGAGTGTTTTGTTTTTGAAATAAACACATTACATACCTTGGTTATTTTCTCTATAATACAACAACCAACGACTTTTTTTTCTGAAGATATGAACAGGAATGCCTAAAATGAAATGAAACATATTCCAGTGTCAAATTTTGAGTTAGCTTCATGCTTTTTTGACAGTAAGAAAACATATTTAGTTAGTATATTTGCTCTGTTCGATGTGTATCATCATTAAATATTCATTTTTGTATGACACTCACTTTGCCATTCTCTTTGCATGCTAAACTCCCTTCTAGAAAACCCAGCTCTGTGTCAACAAGTTCTCGCACATCTTCAACCTGTAATATAAAAACAACTGGAGGTTAGAATTTCTGAATTTTGAAAAATCTGGACAAGAACCATTTTAAAATAAAACAAAGCAAAAAACTATAAGGAGTTACTCATTGTGGTATATTTTTTTTTAGTACAGGATCAGTGAATTTTGAAAAAAAGAAAGTAAAAGCAAAATATTATTTGGAGACTATCTAAACTGAAAACCAAATTTACTGAAAAAAACTGTCATGTGTTTACTTTCATATAATTCTAATTGATTTACAGAGTTTAGTTTTTGCAGGGATACCTTAACACACTGATACCAACCTTTCTCTGGGCGTATCTGTGATCATCTTCTGTCACCATAATGATGCGACCGTCATGGAATTCTTGCATCACATTTTCTTTCTTCCAACCCTACACGTAAGTAAGAACAATGATTATGCAAACAAACTGTCAAATTTAACCTGGAGACAATTGATGATACTTCAAGATTCTGAAGACACCCAATATCGAAGCAAACATTTATAAAAAAAATGACTTGTACTAATTTCAAGTTGCATTAGATAAAATTGTTTGAAATTTAGTGAATGGTTGCAAAAAGTTTACAAAGTTTACAAAATGAAGAGTTTTATTTCACAATCCAAGGATATGTACTTCACAGAAGCAACAAAAACAATTGCTTTGATACCTTTGTGTTGGTACACTTCAAATAACATATTTTCCCTGTACTATACGCTAAGACAATTTTTTCATATTTCGCCTAGAAAATGGGTGCTCTGTCAACTCTGAAAGTTCAAGCCCTGCAATCCCAAAAGAAAAATAATAGGAACAAGTATTTTGATTCTTCAACCACTGCTGTGGTAGCTTTCATCTTTAGATTCAATTTCTACAAAAATAAAACATTCACTAACGAATGTGACATTGGGGGAACCTTACTTGAGATTTGCAGGTGCTTGTATTCGACCGAGTCTGGTTGTCACCAGGATAGCGCATTAAATTGCCATTTGATAGGAAGATGGCCGCACAGCCCTGTCATGTAGTCCCTAAGATAAATATGACTTCTGTGGCAAAAATGCACTATGTGTCAGTACTAGTACTTGCAATTTGCACATACACATAAAAAAGTCAGGAGAGACAACAGTGACATTCAATGTCCAAAACTGTCGCCTGGCACCAAAAAATAAAATAAAACATGTACTTACTGGAAATTTAACACACTCCACAAACTTCTTATGAAACCTAATATGGTCTGATTCGTCTTCCGGTTCAGCTAAGCTGTACACCATACCACAAGTTGAACACATGGTGGCCCCAAACCGCTTCTGACCAAGATCCTACAAAAACAAAACAATGAAATTGCACTTAAATGGCATTGGTTGCCATGGTTGCACATTCTTGATATGGAACCCATCCTGCCCCTACTGAGACAAGTACAAAAGTGAACAAAATAATTCACTCACCAATATCATCTGTTCCTTGCCATCTTTATCTCGTGATTTCTTTAATATTGATGAAAACGTTCCACTGCTGGGTGAACTGGATGATTTAGCTTTCATCCTGTTGGTCAGAAAAAATTCAAAATTCAATCTACATGCAAGGGTTGAAATTGAATATTGAATATTTTCACCACCAGACTTTCTCACCCAAAATTATTCTGCACTTTTTACTTATATTCTTCAATATTTCTGAAAAGAAACCCTAATTTCGGAGCCAAATTTGAGTCAATTTTCAGTTTTTACTCAAAAAATTTGGCTATTTTTATCGCAATCTTCTGAAGGAAAGTGAAGACTATAAACAAGACTATTTATTATGTGAATTTGCAATGAAAAGAGTGAACTGGTGGCGAAAAGGTTAAAGTTGTCGAAATTTGTCATTGGCCGAATAGAGAACAAAAATGCCTTCCCATATACATTGTGTACCCACTAAAGAAAATTGAAAAAATATTATTTGAAATAAAATAAGTGCATCATCAAGTCAAAGGTCTTATGAAGCAATGTTTTGGACATAGACAACTTAAGGATATGATATGGTTAGTTAGTAAAACATGATATCTTTATTCACCTCACCACAGAAACAGACAATTTGTCATTTTACCAAGCTAGAAACTGCCTATCTGTGGACAGATAAACATCCCTAACTTTTGACCCATGTACCTGTGCAGAACGTTTCATTTCACAGAGTATGCCAACTATTTTGTGCACATATGTGGTATGACATCAACACACATACATGCTGAAAAATTAATTAATTGATATGTAAATTATTAAGCTCATCAAGGCACTTGCTACCTCACAACAGGGCATAGGTTGGTGAATGCAGAGGAGTTTTAATATGTGACACCACATTCTATTGTATTAACATAGGAAAAACTGACATACAAATGTATATATTTTAAAAAATATAGTTCCCAACATAACAACATAGTTCCCTCGACCGGCACTCAAAATTAGCGACCAACATGGAAATGCTTCCGACCAGGACTATTGTCCGATTGTTATTATAAATATGTACCGATCGACATGCATCCTGCCAGTCGTGGATTATAATTTGTAAACAATAGACCTAGCCGCACGTTTGTAAGTAAATACTTCCTGCGATGGACACAGTCTTTAGATTGAAAACTAAAATTCTTTCAAAATCAATTTCACCTCGATATAACATTGTCAAAGCGGAGTTCACGATCTGACAGTATACGCTACTCAAGAAAAAAATCAACGTGTTTATTGCATGATTTGGTAAAATACATTTGAACTGTTATCATCACGATTCATGTAAAAACTCTTCTTTCAAGACCTATTTTACCTTTTAAAAATTGCTAATCACCTCCTTCCATAACCATCATGCAGTTTTCAACTGAAACCGATGTCAACACATCGTGTTACAACATCGCTTTACTTCCGCAATGTAATTTTTATGATCACTACCATTCGGGAAAACTTTGGATTCTACTGGCATTACCATGCAGCATTCTGATTGGTTAATAGAATTATTGACCCATCGGGTCAAAGGACACATGCCGGTCAACTACATGTAATACGTCACAAACATGTGTTTTATACGGAAGCTGTGTTTTATACCGAAGTGATCGAGTGATCAAAAATATCCACTCCCGATAAAACTAAGTCAAATTTTACTTTTATTTCATATCAAAAAACAAAGTAACATTCTTTGCTTGGCATCATGACTGAGTAAGAGGAATTATTGGTATAATTGGTGTATAACATCGCGAAGCAAGTTATGTCACGTCGTAACTTTGAAAGTTCAGAAGTTTTATTTGTTCGTTCATTACTGTGAATATATACGTTTTAGAAGTTGATGGTACGAATAATAAATTACAACAATACTCCAAATAATTACGTGGTCGATTTTTGAAGGAGAATGTATTTGGAGTAATTAATACCGTGAACATATTCCTGGCTGAAGCGTTTCAAATGAGTTTTATTTAACTTTTTACAATACAGTGTTTTCCCCAGGCCTCTAAAGCGACACGGTACTGTAACCCTTGGACACTCGGCCGTGATGCTTGCCTTTTGTTCGTGACGCTTGGTCACCCGCCCGTGATGCTTATTGCTTTGTTTACAAGTGTCAGTCTCGTCTTGCATGTATTTAAAACAATAACATGTATTGATCGAAAGGTAATCCTGCTTTTGTTAGCCATACAAAGACAGTGATAAAAACAGAAGTCTGCAAGAAGTTGCGAAGTCTTTCAAGGGTGCATAGCCTCCAAATCCAAAAAAAAATACTAGAGTAGCAATAATTTGCCCATTGCACGCAACGGCAACAATGTGACAAAACAGTCATGGTGTACGTCTGGAAGATCAACCCCGATTTGCTGCACTCCGATTTTTTATCACTCAAACGCCGGTGACATAATTAATTACCCCAAAATTAATAAAAAAACAAGTGAAATTAAGTCGTATTGGAAAGAAAAGTATGAATAATTCAACAGCAGACGAGATGGGTTCAGAAAAAACGAACTCTGACCTCTGGAAATACCCCATTCATCAGGTGCCTTAGTACAGAAGAACGCCGCCCTAAGGCAACATAATGCACGTTGCAACATTGTAACCGATGCATGCTGGGTTACAGGGGGTTCTGATCGAGGTAACAAAGATGGCAGTGCAGAGTGCATGTTTTTCTACGATGTTTAAAAACAATATCTCGTTGGCGATTTTGATGTAATGCCTATGCAGTGTTCTCCCCACATAGAACAAAGCATGGCGGCACCGCCATGCTTAGCGACCCGGCCGCCACGCTTGGGCTCGGACCGCCATGCTTACAACTTCACCG